AAATTAGTACCGAATCACCTACGCTACGTATTTCGACCTTAATATCTATAGCCACTAGTAAGGCTAGGTATTTATATATATTATCGGACTATAGGATAATAGTATAATACTCGGGGACCTATAGCTATATAACGTAAACGGACGCTATTCGGCCAGAAAGGGATACCTAGATATCTTTATAAGGTCCAGGGAATAAATAAGATATTAGAACCGCGTAGACCGCACAATTAGACCCACCAGAGCGAAGGCGCTATATATTGTATAAGCTATAGCATTAACGATTAAAGAGCTCTTACAGAATATATTAAACACAGAACGCGTACGAATTAGTAGGGTTTCGCTAAATAATATCGAGAAAGCGCTACGACCTAAAGAGTATATTAACCTAAAGAATAAGCTACCAAAATATTACTAGCGATAGTTAGAGATCTTTAGCCAATAGCTAGCCGATAAACTACTACCCTATTAGCCTAGAGTTAATCACAAAATTCCCCTAAAACGCGACCGAAACAGCGTCGAAGAGTTACCGCTATATAGACCCCTTTACGGTATAAATAAGGAAGAACTACTCTATCTACGGAAGACACTAACGGACCTACTTAGGAAGAACTTTATACGGGTAAGCTAATCCCTAGTAGCCGCACCTATTCTACTAGTTCGGAAGCCTAGGGGAGGCGTACAATTCTATATTAATTATAAGGGGTTAAACAAGCGAACAGTGAAAGACTAATACCCCCTCCCACTGATCCGCGAGACGCTACGGAATATTGGCTAAGCCCGATAGTTTACGAAGCTCGATATTATCGTAGCTTTCTATAAAATCCGCGTATAATCAGAAGAGGAATAGAAAACAGCCTTCCGGACGCGATATAGACTCTACGAATAGAACGTCACACTATTTAGGCTAATAGGCGCACCAGCGATATTCTAAAGGTATATTAATCAGACCTTATAAGAGTACCTAGACGACTTTGTGTCAGCGTATATTAACGATATAATTATCTACTCTAGCGGAACGCTATCGGATTACCGACGGAAAGTTAGTGAGGTGCTATAGAAGCTAATAGACGCGGGTCTTTAATACGATATTACGAAGTTAGAATTCGAGTAAGACTTAGTGAAGTACCTCGGTTTTATTATCTAAGCTAGAAAGGGTATCTATATAGATCTAAAGAAAGTAGAGGTAATCAGAGTATAAGAGAGGCTAGAGTCTATTTAAGATATACGGAGCTTTATCGGATTCGCGAACTTTTACCGGCTATTTATACTATATTTCGCCGACCTTTTGGCACTATTAACACGACTAATAAGGAAGAACGCTACGTTCTAATAAGATAATAACTATTAATAGGCCTTCACGGAGCTAAAGGATCTTTTCGTTAACGCACCGATCCTAGCGCACTTCGAAGAAGGCCGCAAAATAGTAGTTAAAGCTAACGCCTCTGGCTAGGCCACTAAGGCAGTCTTATCGTAATATAGACCTAATAGCTACCTACGACTATATATCTATCTATCGCAGAAGCTATCCCTAGCAAAATTAAATTACGAGATCCACGATAAGGAGCTCCTAACTATCGTGCGAGCCCTATATAAATAGAGGCCAGAGCTAAAGATAGTACCCCGATTCACTATCGTAACAGACTATAAAAATCTACGATACTTTAGTAAGGCATAGCACCTTAATAAACGGCAAATAAGGTAGGCTAACCTTTTAACGGAGTTTAACTTTAACCTATAATACCGTTCGGGTAAGCTAGCAGTACGGCCGGACGCTCTCTCTCGTCGAAACTAAGATATACCTAAGGGTATCTCCGATAAAAGGCTATCGAATCGCTTCCGAGTCCTACTTAAAAGGGTCTTAGTTAAGATAAGGTAAGCAAACGACGACTAAGCTTAGGGAGAGACAGATTTCGAAAGAAACGTCCTATTATTTAAGGAACCGGAGCTATAGGCAGAGTGGACAAAGGTAAGGAGTTCCGATATAATATACTAACGAATCTCCTACGCTTTACTAAAGGGAGACCGTCGAATCGTGGCCAAAACGAATATAAAGACGAGCCTATCGGAGTGCTATTTAGATAATCGAGGGTTACTCTATTTTAGGTAACGAATATAGATCCTAGATAACGAGACCCTACGAACGGGTATTATCCAGAAGATCCATAACTTATATATAATAGCGCACCCCGGATAAGACGCGACGTATTCGATACTATCTTAATAATTCTTCTGGCCCGGAGCTATAAAGGATATACGACGATTCCTACGGAACTGCACCGTCTACGGATATAGCTCGGTATAGCGTAATATAAAGTATAGGCTATTAAGACCACTACCAATTCCTTAACGAATCTAAGCTAAAATATTAATAGACTTTATTACTAGCCTACCGCTATCCGAATCTATAGGAGTAACAAATTATATAGTGATTATGGACCGGCTAATAAAAGGCGTAATCCTTATTAGAATAAGGGATATAATAGTAAAAGATATAGCGAAAGCATTCCTTACGCACTTCTATATACACTATAGCGTCCTATTAGCGATCGTGAGTGACCGCGGCCCTTAGTTTATTAGCGCATTTTAGGGAAAAGTGTGCGAAACGCTATCGATTTAACGACGATTATCGACTGCCTTTTACCCGCAGACCGACGGTATAACAGAGCGGGCTAACTAAGAAATCGAACGAATCTTACGCGTCTTTTCCACTTACGTATAGGATAATTAGAAGAAGCTTCTACTAATAGTCGCTACCGCGATTAATAATCGTAACATAATATTAATAGGGATCTCCCCCTTCTTCTTTACCCACGGATACTACGTCGACCTAATCGGGATAGATAAGTCGAACTAGTTACCGGACGCCCTAATATAGCCAGGAAAAGTAAGCGAAATATTTATAAATCGCCTACGAGAAGCCACCGATTAGGCCTAAGCCGCTATTACTTCGGTATAGGCACTATAGGAGGAGCAGACAAATCGATAACGCTAGGCCGCCCCTATCTATAAGAAAGATAACTAGATATAGTTAAACCTTCAGAATATACGCACGTAACGACTATCGAAGAAGCTAGACTAGCTACACGCCCGGTATAGAGTCGTGGACGTACCGTCACCGCATACTATTAAGCTTAATATACCTATAGGCGTACACCTAGTCTTCTATATCGAATTAGTTAGGCCTATAGCAGCGGACCCCTTCCTATCACAAATCGTGGACGATACGCAGCCGCCTCCGATTATAGTTAATAGCGAAGAAGAGTACGAAGTTCAGAAAATCCTTGCCGTTCGGCGCAAGAAGGTCGGATAGGGACACCGCGACAAAGCGCTAGTACAATAGACGGGGTAGGCAGAACAAACGTAGGAAACCTTAGACTCTGTCCAGGATTACGCCGTATTAGAAGCCTTTAAGGAACGAAACGGCCCCGTTTCGGACGTGATACGACGTTAAATCGACACCGATACGCACGTTGTCGCGACCCCCGGGAGGTTCAGGTTAGAGGGGGGGTATTATCACGGGCCTATGCCCGGTATAGGTCACATAAACCACGTGACCCTAGTATGTTAACAGAACGAACGCACAGAGGGAACATCCCTTCTTTAAGCTTTTTGTACACAGTTCGTGGCCTAGTCAGATTGAATCTAAGTCTCGCTTCAGCCCTTCACACCGGTAACAGATTTTGTTACTATAGCTCTATAGTAGGATTCTATTAAGAGGTCTCCTTTCTTTATTAAGCGAGGATATAAGCCTTAGATATCCTTTAACTAAGACATACCTACGGAACCGTCTATATTATCTTAGTTAACGTAGGATACTTAGGACTATATTTAGCGACTCTAAGAGATCTAAAAAGATACCTAAAAGGAGATTTAATAAGCCTAGGAGCGTTAGCGCGCCTAGGCTAATAAATATTGCCGGGAAATAGATTTTAATATTAATAATCTTATCTTTATTATTATTAGGAATTAGAAACTTAACTAGCTAAGTAGAAAACTCTCTAATTAGTCTAATAGCCCCTATAAAATCCTCTCGAAGAAAAGTTATAGCTATTAGCTCGACTTACTATCTTCTATTAAGGTTAACTTAGTCTTTTCTCTAGATAAGCTCCGCAAATAGCGAGTTCTAATTCGCTTATAGGTCAGATCGCAGACCTAGCTTTACTAATAGAAATTAATAACTAATAGGAATAGGAAGTTAATAAAATCGTAGATATCCGATTACGCTATCGGAAGCTTTAATATAAGGTTAGGTAGATCGGAATTAAGGATAACGACTAATATCCCGTAGGGGATTTTAAAAATACTCCGGATAAGTTAATAGCTTTCTATAAGCGTTACTTAGCCTTACCCGGACCGCCTATATAGTTATTAGTGTGGTTGGACGCTACTTTAAATAATTACTTTGTAGATAATTATCCAGATAATAGAAGAACAAAGCCTCGGGGCGAGCCTCTTTAAATAGGGGGACTATATAACGTATAAATATCTTATAGCCTGAGAGAGGCCTAAGGGGGAACATGATCTGGAAGGAGCCGTAGGTCTAACCCGATTCGGGATAGAAGTGGGTTTGTTTCGTAGATAATCGTTTCCCTCTTTCTCTCTTCTTCTTCTTCTCCAGTTTAGTTGCTTCTGTTAATGATACACGAATTCTTCTTCGTCTTGGTCGGTAACAATATACACGGAAATTTTGAACCGCAGAGAGAGGAAGCGAAACGGAACTTCTGTATTCTCTAGCAAAGTCTGAGCTAGAGGCCATTTCATATGGCTACTCAAGCCACAAAGAAAGCAAACCCCAGTCTAAACAACTGGTGGCTGCCTCAGGCCTCAACATATTGTCAGTACGAATACCGCGGTGGACCGGAGATACAATTATCCTTCATGTTTATTTCTTATGTAATCTAGACTCCCCCTATAAATTGGCAGAATCAGGGGTAATACAGAAACAGAGCTTCAGACATCATTGATTGGTTGCATAGAAAACATTCGACACATATCTTCCATTAAGCAATATTCCAGTCGTGGTCGCTGTTACGAACATAGGTCGCCAGTCCCAGTGCATCTTGCGTGGACATTGCCTTAACAGACCCATTTCCCAAATAGGCAAATCTGTTCTTATATCGGTATTTGATGTCGTAGTCCTCAAACCGGGGATCCTTGAGGGATTTCAGGGAATGGACCGTTGGTCCAGGCCATAGGTAGATGCGGTTCTCGCGCTTGTTATCTTTGAACCACGAGCGGCAGTTTTCCTGCCAAACTGTTGTTTTGTGGAATTCATCGAAGTGCTCATAGATGTCAGTTAGAGCTTCTTGCTTCACGGCCATCGACCTGATGCCTTCGTGTTGCATTTTTCTCATGCATTTGACGCTGTATTCAACCGTGGTTTCTATTGAGGGTAGCAGGGTTCCGTTAGACCAGGTCGCCCCAGGCCCAACAATGGTGTAGTAATTCGGAAACCTGTAAGCACTTCGTGGTTAGCGTCTGAGTCTTGGAATTGCTTGAGTATAGCGGCGAACCTCGGTGCAGATACGCCGAAATACAAGTTTACGCCATCACCCCAATCTTCGTGAATGGATTTGCCCTCTCCGTTAACAACTGGAAATGCAGGTTTGAATGCGGTATTGAAGCCGGTGGCACAGACAAGGATATCCATTTCATGCTCCACTCCATCCATTGTTATAAGACCGCTTTTCGTCGCCTTCTTGATATCTCCCAAGATAGGCTTGACGTTGGGCTGCACAAGTGCTTCGAGATAACCATCTCCCGGTGAGATACGCCGGCAACCAGGGGAAAATTTTGGAATGATAAATTCCTTCAATTCCTCATGACCGGGACCCATCCTTCGGTGCATCTCCTTGGTGATAGTCTCTCGGAATATGTTAGACAGTTCCGAACCCTGGTGATACATCCCGAACAGCCCATTGATTTCCGATTCAATGCTTTTCCGGAAGGTGAGATGATACTCTGGGTCGTCTCTAAATCGCTTCTTGTCCTCTTCCGTGAACTTGTACTGGCGATGCCCGAGATCGTCATCGGCACCATGGCGTAAGTCTTTTGTAAGGGCGGTTGCACCGAAGGGAGGACTAACCCATGTAGGGCTCCTCATGTACACCTGTACCTGTTTGCAGACCTTTTGCAGTTCGGGAACGATTTGGATGCTGGTGGAGCCGGTGCCGATGACGCCCACAGTTTTACCCTGGAAATCAACATCGTGGTTCCATGCCGCTGAATGAATGCGGGGCCCTTGAAAGTCATTGAAGCAGTCAATATCGGGCCAACGCCACGAGTTAAGAATCCCGGTGCCGTTCACCAAGCAATGCGCCCAATCTTGCCATTGCTCACGCGTCTGGGTATTCTCGAGAGTGATGTGCCACATGGCATTGCTGTCGTCCCATTGACACGAGATCACCTTGGTGCTCAGCTTCATGTACTTGCGGAGGCTGTGTCTATCCGCGAAGCCCTCGAGGTATCGTTGGATCTCATCCCCGTATGCAAAGTAGTGGGACCAATTCGGGTTTGGATCGAACGTGAAGGTGTAAAGGTGAGCGGGAATATCGCACGCCACCCCCGGGTAGGTGTTCTCGTACCAAGTACCCCCGAGATTCGGATTCTTCTCGAAAAGCGTCAATTCCCAGGAAGCATGCTCGAGCATCCTTTCCATTTTGTACGCCAAACACAGCCCCGAGGCGCCCGCACCAACACATGCCACCCTCAGCTTCGTAGGCTTCGAATGATATTGATCCAGAACTCTGTATGAGTCACCTGGGTTCGGCTCTGGATAGGGGTACTCTTCATGGTTGCCATTGTCGGTGACCACTGTCATGTTTGCTTTTCTTCTTTGTTGAGGACTGTTCGTTGGTTGAGATTTGATCAGTGCCTTATTAGAAGATAGCAGGGTTCTCAGATATGGTTGTATACCGGAAGATATATGCGAAGGTCTCGTAATATACCTATTAACAGAAAAGTAGGGCTTCCTTCTAACGGAGAAGCTCGATCAATTATAATATAGTATCGAGTGAACAAATAGGACGTAGCTTAGAAAATAATCATAGAGAGCAAGCTTTCACAATCAATTCTTGAGCAAGTGCAAGCTAGTATGGAGAATATTTTACGAGTCAACCGGATCAATCCAGTGCTTCCGATTCAAGTATACCGAGCATCCGCGTGGTAAACTTCGACGTGGAAAACCTAAAGAACTCTTTTGCCCATCCTATGGAAAGCCTTTCGGAGAAGCATATCCATTCGGCCCAGTTGTAGCAGCCTTCCGTGATGGGCGTCGGATTCACGTAGAAAATCCCGCTTCGACCTCAGATCAGCGACTATGGACCGGGAAAAGATAGCCGATTGACAATCCCCGCGTATTAGGGCCTGTCGGACATGTGCACTATTTCTCTTTACTACTCTCAGAAATCAGAAATTGTCATTACGGGATTGCATCAATTGAACATCTTGTTATTTGTGCCCATTTGACCTTAATTTAATTTGACTAGCAGGTGAAAAATTTGCTTTAAGAGGAAAGGCGTAAGGGATGGGCATATCGAGGCGTGGCCAGGATACTTGAATTGGAATAAATGTACCCGGACTAAAGTTTTGCGCGTACATTGCCTGCGTCCCGTCGAGCCCATTCTTTAAGTGTTTTCCGTTGAATCTTCCCACTGGCCAGCCTGGGAACCTCATCGACGAATTTCACACCTCCCACCAGTTGCTTGTACTTTGCTACACGATGGTTCATATAATTTTGGATATGAGCCTCGGATAGTTTTTCACATGCGCCATCCTTGGTTCGCACGTAAGCTCGAGGCCATTCCTGACCTTCGATGGTAACTCCAACCACTCCAGCGTCGGCAATATTATCATTCTCGAGAAGGGTCGCCTCGAGCTCGGCGGGCGAAACTTGCAGCCCATTCACCTTGATCAATTCCTTCTTCCGATCGACTACCCAGAACCAGTTATCCCTGGCGACCATTATATCGCCTGTTCTAAGCCAACCGTCGGCATCAAGGCTGTCTTTTGTTGCTTCATCATTTCGCCAATACCCCAGGCACGTATTTGGGCCTCTAACATGCATTTCGCCGGGTTCACCCGATGCTACCATCTTGCCGTCTTCATCCCGAAGTTGACATTCGCAGTTGGGATCTAGTAGGCCGACGCTGCCGGACTGATCGTGACGACCACCGGGGACATGGATAGCTCCACATGTTACCTCGGTCATTCCCCAGCCTTGCACGACATTGATATTGAAGCGCTTTTGGATAGTGTTTTGCAGCTCTTTCGATAGCGGTGCCGCCCCACACAGAATGTTTTTAACGCTGCTAAGATCGTACCGAGGTGTTTCTGGCCTCTTGTCAAGCATGATCAGAATCGGGGGAGCGACTTGAAGATGAGTAATCCGGTATTTCTGGATGGTGCTCAGAAATTCCTCGTACACGAACTTTCGCATGACATATATGGGGAACCCCAGTTTAGGTGCCATTAAGCAGGCGTAGAGCTGCCCTGAATTCATTGGAAGAGGTCAGTTTCCTGTGAGACACTGCGTAGGGGTGTCACTTCTTACCGTACGCATGATACAGAGGCAAAAACCCGATCCATCGTTCTTCAGGTCGACTCCCCGGTACAAGTACATGGGACGTCTCTTGGTCGCGCATGAAGATGGTCTGCTCAACATTCGCGATCAGGTTGTGGTGTGACACGCAGACGCCTTTAGGCAACCCTGTAGTCCCGGACGAGTAGTTGATGGTTGCGACGGCAGAAGTCGACGTGTCCGCCATGTCATCCCATTTCCATGTTTTGGCCTCTTCTTCGGACCCGATCATAGTTCTCCAATCGAGCACACCGTCAATGGGTTCGCATGGGTAATCCGAGAATTGAAAAATGCGGTCTCTCGGGATCCCGACACGGGAGCCAGCGGCTACGGCTCTTCTGATGAGACTTGGGTGCGCTAGAATCACCTTTGCACCGGTGTTGCTGAGCTGATGCTCGATCTCGGATTGAGTATAGATCGGATTTGCGCCGCTGAAGATCCGCCCTGATCCCAAGATTCCTTGGTACGCAACAGGAACGAAGATGTGGTTTGGCGTATAAATCATGACCACATCCTCTTTGCCGATGCCGAGACGGTCAAGGCCATATCCAAGCCGTCTCACCCAGGAAAGCATCTGCCTTGGAGATAGGGAATTATTGGGATCATTCACTTCGATCCATATCGCCTTGTCGGAAACAGTTTGGTTTGAGGGATAAAGGTATGACAAGATATTCGACTTGGGTATGTCTAGGGGTGGGAAGATTGACGTGTAGGACATAGTTTTTTGTTGTGAGACTGCGCTGAATGTGTGATTGCTGAAAATGTGATGTTTGCATAGTGCAATGCTTCGTATAGATACTAGTAGTCGTGTAGTCGGATAAGTTTAACCACCGGCAGGGAACTTACCCGGGATGGGGGAGAAAGTGGGGGAAGGATGTATACCTAGGTATCCTGTAACTGGAATGGATACTCTTTCTCAATTTAAACCCTTTAATTCACAACACTGGAGAGGATTGCCAAAATACTGTCTGGTAAGCGGCACAACATGGAAAGCGTCTCGTCTACTGGTAATCACGCGCTCGTGTTTGGCGCCTCCGGCATATCGGGGTGGGCAATAGTCGATGCCATTTTGAAAAACTATCCCGAGAGGGAGTCATTCGGCCGGGTGACTGCTCTTACCAATCGTCCTCTGCCCCTTCAGGTCGCACAATGGCCAGCATCCGAGAAGCTGGACATTGTGTCTGGGCTCGATCTCTTACGAAGCAACAGCCAGGCGGAGTTGGAGGCTGAAATGAAGGATCGTATCACTGGCATCGAAGATGTCTCAATTATTTATTTCTTCGCATACGTGATGGATACGGAACCCGACAAAGAGATTGAAATTAACAACAAGTTGTTGAAAAGGGCCGTCACAGCCGTCGAGAAGTTAAGCAAGAAGTTAAAGTTTGTTGTTCTACCTACAGGAACAAAGGTAATTCCTCTCGTCTCATCTCGCATCTATTTTTGGACGTTTAGGTTTGACTGTTTGGAGTGCAGGCATACGGGGTCCATCTTATCGATCAATTTCCCTGGAAAGACAGTCTGCCTCTCAGGAATCGCTTCCTCGCATCCCTGAACCGTTCGCCTCGCAGATCTTCTACTACAATCAGCTCGACCAGTTGCGATCCCTTTCCGCGGGAAAGCTGTGGAAATTCTGTAACGTTATCCCGGACGTGGTCGTGGGCTTTGTCCCCAACAACAACGTGTACTGTCTAGCTCAGTGGCTCGCCTTGTACCTCACTCTTTATCGGGAGATCTACGGCAAGGGTAGCTACGTGGTCTTTCCGGGGACGTTGAAAAGCTGGGTCATCAAGAGCAACGACACCAGTCAGCATGTCCTCGCTCGATTCGCAATATATGCAAGCCTTCACCCGCAAGTTAGCTCTGGTGAGAGTTTCAACGTTGCCGACGCTGCGCAGCCTTCTAATTGGTCAACCAAATGGCCTATAATTTGTGAATACTTCGGGCTCAATGGAGTGGCACCAACTGAAGCTTCTGGGCCAGACCCTGCCGAATTCCTCACCAGCAACAGGGAAAGGTGGCTGGGGATTGAGAAGAAGTATAATCTGCGGACGGGCCGTGTGGGAAGTGACAAGAGCTTTGGTGGATATACTCATTTCATTATGTCAATGTTCAATTTTGATCGTCAGTTGGACTTGAGCAAAACTCACCGGGCCTGGGGCTCCGCAACGGAGGAGCTGGGAATCAAGGAGACTTGGTACACTGCATTTGACAAGTTTCGAAGTGCAGGGATCATCCCGTAGTGTGCCTAAATATTGTTGCAACAGAAGATATATCGATCATGCGAGTAGATTGACTCCATATACATCCAGTTCCATTCAGTTTCTTCCACTAAAATGCTGGTAATCTGCTAGAATACGCCTAACTAGGTCTAGAGCTTGGACTGGACTTCTGGAATATTTAAGTACTCCCAGGTGCAATCATCTTCCAGTTCATCCTCCAACCCGAACTGTTTCTTCATCTCCTTGGCGATCGTATAATACCGGGCATGTCTGTCCTTAACCTTTCCAGCAGATTTAAGCTGGTCTCGTCCAACTTGATGACGGTGAGCAGCGTCGGGGCCATCCGCGAGCCGCACAAATCGGGCGTATGTCCACATTTCCGGCAACGGGGTATGATGCGTGAGGCCTTGGCCCCCGTACAGCTGCATGCATTCGTCGATGATCTTCGCAGCGGCGGTCGGAACCAGTATCTTGCTCTGGGCGATGACATATCGGCATTCTGTGTTGTCACGGTAATCCATCGTGCTGGCAGCATTAAGCACGGTCAAGCGTAACGCGTCCAGCTCGAGCCGCATCTGTGCGATACGCTCGATATTGCTGTCAAATTGTCCAATAAGCTTTCCCCGTGGTCGTTTGCGTTCATCTGTCGCACGCAAGAGAGCAAATTCATATGCCAGCTCGCACTGTCCGATCAACCGCATACAATGGTGGATCCGACCTGGCCCCAGCCGGCCTTGGGCTATCTCGAAGGCTCTCCCTTCCCCAAGAATCACATTCGAGGCTGGGACACGAACATTCTCGTACACAAACTCGCCATGGCCCTCAGGCGCGCAGTCGTAGCCCATAATCGTCAAGTTCTGCCTCATGCGAAAGCCGGGGGTATCACTCGGCACAAGGATCATAGAATGACGCTTCCATGGGTTCGGGTTCGCCGGGTCAGAACATCCCATTAAAATGTAGAGCTTAACGGAGGGGTTCCATTTGGCGTTCCCGAAAATTTTGCGGCCATTAATCACGTATTCCTCGCCGTCACGGCGGATGCTGATGGAGATGTTCGTTGCGTCGGAAGAGGCCACGTCAGGTTCGGTCATGGAGTAGGCGGAGGAAAATTCCCCGTTTAGCAGAGGCTTCAGCCACTGCTCTTTTTGCTCCTGGTTGCAGTATTTCGCGAGCAGCTCAATGTTTCCCGTCTCCGGTGCGTGGCAGTTCATTGTTTGCGCTGCCCAATACACCTTCCCCATAATCTCGGCACAACACGAATATTCCAAATTGGTCAGGCCTGGCGACTCATCGAAGTGGCTTGGCAGAAACAAGTTGAAGAGGCCGCGCGCCTTGGCCTCCTTTCGCAGCGCCTTCATCAACGGTGGTATTTCCCACCGATCCTTAGCCAATTGGGCTTTCATTACCGCCTGAGCTGGGATACATTTCGTCTCAACCCACTCGTGAACTGCCTGGATCTTCTCAATGGCTATCGGTCGCAGTTTCTCTATAACCCAGGAGGGATACCTGCTGAAGGGCAAGGTCGTCGTGTCAGGCTTGATTTCCACCATGGCTAGAGACTTGGGCAAACGGAGAAGTGGTGACGGCGGTGGCTCTACTTGCTTTGTGTTCCAGTATAGCGACTAGAATTAATCACTTGGTAATATAAGGTGTGTTGGCCCGGAATAATGAGCCAGAAATTAGCTTAGGAGCTAGACACGGGATATGGGGCCTGGAAATGAATAGGCAATGTTGTCCCTCGGGAGAGCACAGCCCAATATATTAACATCATGAGAAATTTAGAACAAGTTTGTAAACGGCTCTGTTGCCTTGAGGTTGATCTATTCTTACACGCACCAGGCTACGCCTCTGAAACTCTATAATCGCCATTATGAGCTCACCATTTGCATCTTCTTGGCGCAAGGTAACACAAGCAAACTTGACCTACTAGATGCCTGATTGTCGATCACTAACAAAACAAGTTACAGTTCATTGAAGAATTTGGGGAATCTCCAGCCCTTGGAGGCTCGCTAGCCGATATTCAGAGAGGGTGGGATAACTTGCTGCAGAAGATGGTAGACAAGTATGAGTTTCCCGAGCCGGACACGTCGGTGAAGACCAAAGACATCACTCTACAAAACTCCGGTCTCAGGATTTACACGCCTCCTGATGCAACCAAGAGTCAGACAGTGGGAATTTACTTCCACGGTGGGGGGTGGGCTTTGGGGAGTGTTGAGCAGGAAGATGCCATTTGTCGACTAATCAGCAAGCATCACAAAATGACCGTGGTTAGTGTTGAATATCGGCTGGCGCCCAAGCATAGATATCCAGCTGCTCTTGATGACTGCGTTGACGCCGTGACCTGGTCCTTGTGCAATTTGCCGGCGCAGTCCGTGGTCCTGATCGGAGCGTCCGCCGGGGGGAATCTCACCTTTGGCACCGCGCTAAGGTTAATTGACCAGGGCAACGGCGAGCGCGTGAAGGGAATAGTAGCGCTTGTCCCCGTCACCATCCACCCGGATGCCATTCCCGCAGAGATGAAGGCGGCATATACCTCGTATGAGACCAATGCTAACGTCACCGTGAACACCCAGTCTGCGATGAAGACATTCTTCGACACTTACGGTGCCCCGGTGGACGATAAATACACTTCTTGCCTTCTACATCCGAAGCTCAACAATCTTCGGAAAGCGTATATTGCTGAATGCGGCGTAGACACCTTGCGAGACGATGGAAGATTAATGAGGGAAGCATTGGAGAAAGCCGGCGTTCCTGTTACTTATGACGCCTACCCGGGATATCCCCATTATTCTTGGACCTTTCCCTCGAAACACCTCGATCAACACCGTGATGAGTTTCTTCTGAACGTCTTACACGGTATCGAGTGGGTAAATGGCCCATTATAGTGGCCAATACCTGAAGGATACCGGCTGGAACACCAATGGTTATCAGTATAGATTATACTTAACTTTTTGTCGTCGAGTTCTTACCCAATTTATCATAGCCATCTGAACTACAATACATTGCTATATGGTCATAGGAAAGTGTGACCATGGCGACTCACTTCAGTAGGCGCTGTCATCAAGTAGCGGCTTTAGACAACCAAGTATGCTCAAGGATCATGGAGAACCGGATATCATTTTCCGTGTAGCCAATGCTGTTCCCAGGTACGAGTTCTTCCCAGGCCTCCCCCGATTGTGGTTTTATATCATTACATGGGGGTTTCCTTTTACTGGTGATGATCATCGACCAGCTTACAACCGGTTCAGTGTCAAAGCTGCCTAACATAGCTTCAACCCAATGGAAGTGCTCAAGGAAAGACCTGTTAAAGAAGTTCCTGCGCAAAGTCCTTCTCAGGATGATATTATTCAAACGCATTATGAAGATGCTCCAGCGCGGCTCAACTCCCAGACCTTGCTGGCACTGATGGTAGGTGACTACTAAGCTGCTGATCCCCCACCAGTACTAGTATCATTGTAGCTAACCTTGCAATGTTTGGCATTAGGCAGTTGCCTCCCAGTACAACGCATACCTTTTCACGCTGCTGATGCCATCCACGGTTTTGTCTTACATCAACAAAGATCTCGGCCCCGACCCATCTTATACCTGGATCACTGTCTCTTGGACTTTGGTGGCTGCGGTGGTCGTCACGGTAAGCGGGCGGCTAGCGGATATCTTTGGGCGGCGGTATTTCCTCATCGCCGGTGCCGTTTTTGGCTGCATTGGTGCTCTCGTTGGCGCAACGGCCGAGAGTATCAACCAGATGATTGCTAGCGGCGTCCTATTCGGCTTGGCGGGTGGCTTCCAGGAGATGTGTTTTGGCTGCATCCAAGAGCTGGTCCCCAACAAGTGGAGGATAATGACTGTTGGTGAGTCTCCCAGTCTGTTCTTGTGGGGCGAGAGGAAAATGGACCACTTCTAACCTGCTTTTTATAGGTATATTTGAGCTGACCGCACTTGTACCATTTTTCAGTCCACTCATAGCGTATGCCATGCTTGCACATACGGCTCTAGGATGGCGAAGCATCTACTGGTATATTTTTGCTTATGAGATCTGTGGTCTGGCACTCTTGGTGTTATTCTACAAGCCACCATCCTTCAACACAAAACACAGGGTTGATCAGAAGACGAAGCTAGAGTTGCTGCGCCAGTTAGACTACGTGGGAGTTATCCTATTCGGGGCCGGTTGTATTTGCTTCCTTCTAGGGGTGAGCTGGGGAGGGCATTACCCTTGGAAGAGTGTGAACGTGATTTTGCCCATTGTCCTGGGTGTCTGCCTCCTCATTGCTCTGGGATTCTGGGAGAAGCATGCAGATCTCGAGTACCCGATTTTGCCGCCATTCTTGTTTCGGCGCCTGCGGAGGTGAGTGGCTTCTGAAGGTGGTCGTCTTCAAGGCTAATTCCAGAGCAAGTTTCACGGCAGTCTTGGTCGTATGTTTTGTCGGTGGCATGCTTTACTACTCAATGAATGGTTAGAATACTGTTAATTATTACCAGAACACCACGGATGGGCTAATGGGTGCTATAGTGCTGTGGCCTCAACAATCTGCCGCTTTTTTCGTCCCGGCTGACGATATCATCATTCGCGGAGTGTATTCGAACATGGTGTCATTCGGTACTATTCGTAAGTTTTATTACAATAAAGTTACTTGCTGAATTGGGGCACCGACAAAGAATACTAACTCCCTGGGGCAATCAGTTGGCGGCGTTATTACCGTCGGAATTTGTCAACATGTTGGTCATGAGAGATGGCAGCTAGTTGTATTCATGATTATTCAGACAGCTTTAATCGGGTCCCTCGCATCTGTGGGCATGGATGACAAGGTACAAGCAATCGCGACAATCATAGTTCTTTCATCCACGGTCACTCCACCTCAGCTGTTATCATTCGTCATGATTTCCTTGGGTCTTCCCGATCAAGCTGACATGTGGGTACTTTAATGTTCTTGGGTGTTTAGCTAAAAAGAATCCGCTGACAATATCGCTTAGTGGCGTTGCGAATGGGCTCGCAAGCACATTCCGGCTGCTTGGTGGTGCGGTCGCAACAGCCGTATATTCTGCCGTCCGAGCTACTGAATTCACCAGCGTCCTGGACTCGAAAATCCGAGACATTGCGGCATCTACGAGCTTTCCCAAGGAGCACATCCCGGCGCTCATTAATGCTGCGGCGCTGGGAACTGATGCTGCATTCGAGAAGGTGCCGGGCATTACCACCGAGGTTATAGACGCTGCGACATTGGCGAACAAGCAATCCTACGTCCAGGCGTTTAAATTAGTCTATCTAGTGGCTATTGCGTTTGGTGGTGTTGCTATCATATCCTGCTTCTTCACGAAGACCATCCCCAAAGAGGTTAAAACTGCTCACAGAGCGGTACACTTGGAAAACGAAAGGACTGATGTAAAGACTGAGGAAGAGCAGATCAATTAGGACATCAAAATCAGTGGGCAATCTGTTATAATGACTGATCCTTGACAGCTCGGGGTCCTTTCCTCCGGTTTCTCAAGTCAGCTAGCTGTTAGGTTAGTTGGAATGGACCATCTCCCTCTCCTTTCCTCTTGCCTTCGTTTTAGAGGCAGCATAACTGTCTCAACACAATTGCTAGCATAGGAACCATTACAATGAGAGAGATGATTGATCTGACTAAAGGTTATGGTTATAAGCTGGATCTATCTAGTTAGTCATCTTGATCAATGAACACGATCTCCGCGGTACAATCTTGTGGTCCTGAAGGGATATTGACGACCTGAGAGGGGGGAGATTTTACCACTACAGATTTATTCAGTGTCACTCATCACTCCACCGGTTCTGTAGGCTAAATCAGGTAGGTTGTTTCAGACGTACAGGGTCGTAACACGTTATACCAGATTCCTACTCCTCAGGATCTTTCAAATCCGCACGGTCTTTGATGGACGGCAGAGATCGAGAAGGGGAAATGGGATGAACGTGATGCTCAGGACTAGATAGAGATGTGTGTATTGAGATAAATCTATCTAGGTGAAAAGCACCCTAATGAGTGGAGTGGGGTGGGGCGCACCCTTGTTATGCCTGAGGCCCCAGGGCCTCAACAGTCCTCCCTCCTGCAACCAACCGCCGTTCAATTGGACAGCTGGTGTACTAACTAGTCAGCACGCAGAATCTCCTGCTCAACAGATATGAAAAAAATCATAGATATTCTACGTTCTGAGATACGATCCGACCAATCATGTACCCAATGTCGTTTACCGGAATGTACTAGTCTAAACAGATGCTATATGCGCAAATAAACCCGATTTGGACTTATCAAGCACAATTTCAAATAACGTAATTTACACGTTAAATGGCACTTTCTTTGTTGGTCTGATCCATTACGGCCTATGTAGCATGACTGTCTGCTAAAGCCTCGAGAACTGCCCAGACTGCAAATGATTTCCCCCGTCTACTGGAATAATGGCACCGTTCACGTAAGACCCCGCAGGACTACATAGGTACACCATAACACCAGCAATGTCATCCGGAACCCCAATTCGCCTTCTCGGGTTCGCGGCAGTCATTGACTCCGTGCCGCCGAGGATATCAATCAATCCGTTGGCCAGTTTCGATGGGAAAAATCCAGGGGCTACTGTATTCGAACAGATGTTGCGAGGCCCCAATTCGACGGCGAGATTCGTTGCTAAATGGTGTGCTGCAGCCTTGGAGACTCCGTACATAATAGTTCCATGGTCGCCTATGACCGGCACAGACATGCCTGCAATCGCGCCAACAATGATGATCCGGGAGGGCGATTCACGAGTACCGGCCCGTTCCAGGAGAGGAGTGAGGCTTTACAGATAGTTAGAGTGTGTCGCTATGCTTGTTTCAGTGAAATAAAGGGAAACTCACAGTCGAGCGAGATTGAAAATGCTCCTGACATTCAAATCCAACACCTTCGAGACGGCCCAGTCGGGGGTCGGCTCGAACGGACCTCCCCATGTCGCGGCAGCATTCGCGACCAGAATGTCTATACTTTCTTCTGATCGGAGTAACCCAACCAGTCTTTCAATTTCCGAGAGTTTGGACAAGTCCGCAGCATAGCCAACAGCGGTGCCCGAAATGCCATCTAACGAATTTAGTTTCTCCACCGCTTGATTGAGACCCAGCGGCCCTTCAGCTTTTCGTGAAACGAGGATGACTTTCTTTGCCCCTGCTAGTAGGAATGCCGTGGCTGTGTGTAGACCAAGACCTCGAGAACCTGGTGACAAAATTCCATTAGTTCTTGTGTCGTTCGACTGGGGGAAGACCCATGGTACAAACCACCAGTAACAACGGCAATCTTGCCGTCGAGGCGAAAGAGCTGAGAAAAGGCTGGTAATTCGGACATGATAGTATTATTTTGTGAAATGCAGTGTTGTTTGGCCACCGATTCCGTTTTATGCCAACTTGGGATACTTGACATCCTGCCGGAAGAGGGTTAATACTAGTCCAACCTCGGCAATAGGTCTAGTGCAAGTTTGCTCAGGGCTATTGTTTTCCGACGCTTCTCTCGCGTAAGCATCATTAAATATTTCCAACGCTTGATTTCTATTCAAATTGTAAGAGCTTCAGAGGCTGCCTATAATTTTCCATTTGGGATATTTCCATTCTTGCCCTTGATCTCTTCAATCGCCCTTCGGGTGAGCAAAGCCATCAGCGTCCTTGTTTTCCCGTACTCATAGGCAGTTGAACTCGCTGTCTGTCTAGTGGCATATCGTGCCGCAATTCCCTGCCTGACTACAGCGCCCCTAAATAACGCAAACGCATCTGCCCATCTAAGCTCGTGGCTAGGATCCCACCCGACTCCCTGGGAATACCAGCCAAGACAGTCGCACATAGAAGGCAACCCCAGAACACCTTGATAGGGGTTAGGGGTAAACTGTAACTGTTTGGCCACGGTGGCGCCTTCCATGGCAACTCTGAAGGGTTGCAGGAGATTCGACATGTCCGAAAGAGGATGTCCAATTGTAGACATTTCCCAGCTAAAAGAATCAGGTCATGAGGAAGAAAATCAGCCACCTTTGAAAAATATGACTCACTCTAGAATGCCTATCACGATCGGTTTCTCCTTGTGGAAGACCAGGTTGTCGATCTTATAGTCTCCGTGGATCAGTGTGGCTCGGTCCCGTGGTTGGAATCGTCGATCGCTAAAGAATTCCAGCATTTCATCCATGTGAGGCAGTGAACCGATAGGCTTGCCAGTACCGACATCTGCGACAGAACCCTGCAGTGCGTGTAGCGTTCGCCAGGTATCAATCTGGCGATTATAGAAATTTTTCGGTTTGCCGTAATCGGCTAGGCCTACCGCCGCAGGTTCAACACAGTGCAGCTTTACGAGCACCGACACGGCCTGACGCCATCTACCCACTCAGCTTAGATTAGTGAAGCGCTTGGAGTTGGAAGGCCTTGGTAAAGTCTGCCATACAATTCTTTCCGTTCATCGCTGGTGACGTTGGGGATAGTTGGTTCCTCGAAGATCCTTCCATCGAGAAATTCCATGATGTAAAACGGTGTGCCAATCACCGTCTCATCTTCACACATGATATAGACTTTCGGCACGGGAACTTCGGTTTTTTCCAACGCCTGAAGAATCTTGAACTCCCGTCCGACGTTGTGGGCAGTCTTCGAGACCAGGGTTCCTGGCGGCTTCTTGCGCAGAACGAACTTTTGTTGATTGGCATCCGTGATCTGATATGTAGGGTTTGACTGGCCAAAGCCGAACTGGGAAGAAATAGCGATGTTAGTCGAGAATTTAACATAGTCTGGCCATACTACAGAGAGTCTCATATCTCCTACCTGTTTCAGCATAATCGGAGGCTTGATATCAGGAATATTGCGAGATATGTATTGCTCTAGCGAAAGCTGATCAATTTGCTGACGGACCTGACCTGCCATCTTCAAGTTGACGCTTAGATGGCAAAGTGCACACAGTGGAGGTGACTGCAGTGACTTAAGGCATATATATGGAAGGTGCTTCTTACGGACTGGTGCGGATATCATTTTCCGCGTGGCTTGCGTTGGGTGCTGGTGCTTGCCTGCTATAATTTTGAGTCTTCGATTTCTTTTTCCTGCATCCGCCCTAAATCATGTTTTGTCAGTTGTCGCCTCCAGTAGGTAGTCTGGTGCGTTTAGATGTTCCCTCTGCCCGAAGGCCCCGTGACTCTTTGCTGTTGACCATAAAGTACGTAAATGAGTAGTGGTTTAATTGTCATGGCTACCATGGCTCGGCATAATGCACGCGATTTCTCTCTCTCAGAATAAAGACATAGTGAAACTCAATGATATTTAGGTATAGACAGTTAGTCTTGTCTTGCTGCAGTGGCAAACATTGCACACTGCTCCGTTGTATATAAAAATGAACACGAGAGGTATGACGTCGTCAGCTCTAAAAGGCCCCAAAGGGCCTTCCGGGCTTTATTCAAAGACAACTGCCATCCTTCTGCTTGAAATCCCTGACTTCATATCTCTTATCATCTTGTCAACATCGTCCAATCCTGCCCTTACCTCTATTTCAGGGATAATGTCGTGTTTGGCCGTGAAATCCACCGCTTCTCCCATCCGCTGAGGGATACTGGTGCTCTCGGCCTTCAATTGATATGAGCCGATAGCGAGGTCGAAGGTGGAAGCCTCAAATGGGCTGCCACTGATCCCGATCGCCATTAAGACACCTCCCGGTCGAATAATGGAAGGTGCGGCCTTATAGGCCTCCGCGGCAGCGCTGAAAACCGCGGTTGCATGGACACCGCCATCGGTAAGTCTTTTCACTTCACTGACATAGTCGTCCATTCGAGATATCGAGTTGAATGTCACGTCGGCTCCTTGGTCCTTACAGATCTCGAGGGCCTTGTCATTCACATCGATCGCGATTACCTGGTAGCCCATTGCCTTGGCATATTGAGTTGCCAGTTGACCTAATCCGCCCGCCCCGATCACGGCGAACCATTGACCCGGCTGCATGTTGCAGGAATCCACCGCGTGAAAGGCTACGGATCGTTAGCCATGCTCTGCGTCGGAGAAATTTGGAACCTACCCGTAATTCCAGCACAAAAAATGGCCGAACTCCGTTTCGGATCGAGCTGGTGGGGAAGCTGGATGACATTCTGCCAGTCTACAGCAGCGTATTCCTGGAAGAAGCCGAATTCTCCAAAACCAGCGACGGCTGGCTTGCCCTTTGTGCAATGCAAATTATGCACCGCACAGCCTTCACATTCAAAACAGCAACCGTTGATATACAGGAACCCCACTGGATCGCCTTCCTGAAAGCCCTTATCCATGCAGTCTGCACCCACCTTCGAGACATAACCTGCACCTTCATGGCCGATCGTGAACGACTCAGTCAAGCCAGGCCGGCTAATGGCCATGATGTCCGAATGACAAAGAGACGCAGAAGCCATCTTGACTAGGATTTGATTGGGAGCTGGATCAGGGATCGGGATGGTGTTGACCACGACGCTTTGCTGCTTGGGATCCCATTGTGCCGCTTTCATCATCTTCCTGATGGAGCCCATCGCGGCAAAAACGAAGTCACAGTATTCGTAGTAAATTGGTTGAATGTGACAAGAAAATCCTCACTCAGGTCTTTGGACAAGTATTATCTTGATACGTCTCCAAGGGGATTACTAGAGGAAATTATTAGTCAGTGGCAGTTTTATTGAGGCATTGGAATCGGTGGTCTTAGTGGCAATCTTTTTCCTATGCTTTTCCAGTCTCACTGAGGAGTCGAACAAGCCTGGGCCCTACACATGAGTGCAACCATATTCCCTGCCGGATATCGCTCCCTCTCTCTCCCTCTCTCTCCCTCTCTCTTCCTCTCTCATTCTTTCTAATTGCTTTATCACTCACGTTATCTTCAAAATTCAAGGCGGGTAGCAATATCAATCCACGTCCAATTCTTGAGATGAGAAAAAAAGGTCTGACTCTATTTATGAACGAGTAATTATGCTTTCTACTAAGAGGCCGTTAAAGATATTCACACCGATCAGCACCTCGACGTAGGTGGTAACCCTGTTAGTGTGTGGAGAGCTGCCAAGGTGGGCGTTGATCAGGGTCAAGGTATTGGCTGGCAAGACCCAGCTCAAATAGGCGACGATAGATACTAGGCATTGTGCCTAGGTCGGGGAAAGGTCAATACTTGGCCTTTAGCCCATCTCAACCTTCTTTGACGACTGGAATGAAGCAGCGAGACACTTACCAGGACGGTGCCAAGAAATGGAATGCTTTTGAAGCAACCTTGGGCATGGCTTCCACATTGAGATGGCCTGACCATCGACGTGAGAACAACTCACATGAGCAGATATAATTGGGTATGACGTGAAATGCGAGCGCTGCCTCCTGAGTTGAGCCAAGCTTTCAAGTTCCTATTGTATGTAAAACACTATTAGCATAACACCTAGTACTTTTTTTGACTCCGATTGATTTCATAAATTCTAGCCTTGAGGCCAGAAATGCGGATGGGTCACGGGTAGACCTCGGCACCTCATGGGACATGGGAATCCCCGAAAGTTTCCGACTGGATGGACGAGGGGAATTTTCAAATTCCCATGGGCGGTGAGTGGAATTCCCACAGGACTTACGCTGGTAAAAGAAGAAGAAAGGGTCAAATATGGTCGTATTCGATGTGCAAAGGTGTATTAGTTATACGGGGCTTATCTATGTGTTATATACGTTTTCGACAGGTTTATATTAAAGATCTTCAGTTTGAATGTATATCATAGTATTTATGTAATTAATACCTATTCAAGTGATTTACTGGTATTTGTGCCTCATAATAGCGCCCCCCCACCTGGCGGTGAGGGTGCGCCCCAGCGGTAGCCCAATCCTCAGCGGTAGCCCAATTCTGATGCTATTCACACATTTATCAACGCATTGGATGCGAATCAAGGTAGAAAAGCTCATTCGCCTGTTCCGCAGCCCTCGCGGCTTCAATTGATGCCTTATTCTCCTCCGTAGGCTGTTTGGGCGGTGCTTTGCCGTACACTTTCTTGTATTGTCTATCCAGCCGCCTTTTCTCCCGAATAGTGTCCTTTGCCTTCCTATCCTCAATTGACCGTGTTGCATCATCCGGGCGAAGGACTCCGGTGTGGCCAAGCCCCTTAATATGTCGTCTATTGTAATTCCGCAACAGAGGGGCGCGCGCGGCCGTCATTTGGCTGATTATATCGTTCGAGAGAGCTGCTTGTTCTGCGATAACCTTATTGTGTTCGAAGATACGTAGTAGGCTTCGCCGCTGCTTCGGGGTGAGGTTGTCTATTTTCGATAGCTTCTTATGATTCCTTTCGAGAGCCTGAATACTTTTTGGAGGCGAGATATCGACGCTTAAGGACGTCGGCGGCGGTGATGGTGTTACTTCTCCGTATGTACGAAGACCGGGCGCTGAGATCTCTGGTAGCTTATTCTGGCTTTCGGCAAGCTTCTTAATAATATATGTGCCATCCGGTGGCTATATACCGCGATCTTTAAAGGAAGCACGAATAATCCGTGGGTTGAAAGCTCGTCGTCGTATGTCTGCGATATATTATAGGAAGTTAGCCTTCCCCACCGGCTGCCCTATCAGGAACGCAATCCTATTATTCTCCTTGCGAAAATAATGCATATAGCTAAGGAATGGCTTGCTATCGAGAGGTTAACAGAGGTATATTAAATAAGGCTCGAATGCGAAACAGATAAGGTTATAATCCTCGTATCTCTGCAGAAACTCCCTTATAAAGTGGGCACTATAACTATCGAATATTAAGATACGTTTCTCCCCTCTTAGCGTACGGTCGCTACCCTTTGTCGTATCGTTAAAGTGCTGAAGCTATTCAATAGCTAGCTCATCAGAGATCTAACCATTCGGAGATATAGCCGTGATCGTACGTGGTGGAAGAGCCTCGCTACCATGATACCACGACTCTATGAACGTCGAGCCCTTAAAGATAAATAATGGATCCATATACTATCTATTAGCAGTAATGCATTCGACGGCTGTGATAGTCTCACCGCGTTCAGCCTCTGGTAGATTAGGCACAAAGACCGTACGGCCACCGACTACCGTCTGCGCTTTACCTCTACTGGGTTGGAAGCCACATTCATCGATATTATATACTAACCGCGGCGGTACGTCTTTAACCGCGTTCTTCTATCGATAATACCACATTTCTAGCATTCCGCTATCCTCCGCCTGAATCCGCTTATACTCCTTCGTCTTCTGCTTTATCGGGGTAAGCTGTAGCTCCTTAGGAAGGCGCTTAATGAAGCGATACACCTATATCTTACCAAGCTCTCGTTCAAGACTAGCGCGCTAAAGCAGGAGAGTTGCTATACTCTCTAGGAGCGCAGGAGTCACTGGCAGATACCTATCACGCATATTATATATCCACTGAGTCAAAGCCTTCTCCTGATACTCTTGAAGAGCCTTATTAACTGGTTTTTGGGTAGTACGGGCCTGTTTACCCTGGCGGATGCGTCCCCGCAGTACCTCATACGAAACACCATATTCCCGCGCGATCTGCCACAAATTCGGCTTTTTTTTGGGCACGGGCGGCTTCGCAGGCCTCAATTACACGAGATTCGGGGGGCTTTAGACGAAACTGGCATGCTGGGTGGGTGGGAATAGCTTCAAGACGAACAATCGGGGAAGAATTGGGCTACCGCTGAGGATTGGGCTACCGCTGGGGCGCACCCTCACCGCCAGGTGGGGGGCGCTATTACGAGGCACAAATATTCCACACTTTAATTTTTTTTTTGAGATGGTATTTTTGGTGGCAGTACCAAGGTTCCCTTTAGTCAAAATATATATATTAGGTTCACGATCAAACTGAAAACATTTTGCTTTACCAAATTACTATACCTACCTCTGTAACTACGGGTCGCATAATTTTTATATTTCAAATATAAGATAATTAGACTATGATTTACGATGTTTACTTATGAAATACAGTATATTACTTATTGAAATGGGAACGGCTCGATGGCTGTCTGGCGATGCAGACTGGACAACACACACACACACACTGCCTGTCTAGTATAGAGGACGCTGGATGAGGCCGTGCTGATACCCTGTTGCGGCCTTACTGGATAATCTTAATACTATATTATGAATAGAAGAAATTGGGTGAATCCTGAATGAATTGGGTAGATGACTTGTCTCTCTCTAAGTGTGTCTAGAGATGTACTATGCACTGCAGACATTAAATCATGCCTGAGGCCACACATAGGCTCATCATGTCACCAGTTCTCCCACTACATTATGTGAAAGCGCGTTCACTCTACTACTAGTACTATTCTAAATAACGTATGATTACAGATGCAGGCCTCAGGCCAGAATCAGGCCAAATCGATTGCCTTGGGAATCCCACGAAGTTCATCATGGAACAACTCCACTGGTGGGAAAGAGCCACCCCCCCTTCTTCGCCGCCCATTCCTATGGGAATGGGCGGCAACTTTCGAAATTCTCATGGGAGTTGCCGAGGTCTAGTCACGGGGCTAGTACTACACTCAGCGTGTGTATCATCAGCCTACTAGCTAAGGGCCTAGGTCTTCCGCCCTAGTGTTAGCCAGATGTGTCCCGGTAACTTGGACTAGTGCGGAGTTTCTACACTTCCCGCGCCGTATCCCCCCCCCCGGCATCCCCAGCAAGACGCCTTGGTTGGAACCCCAAGCGCCTATCACAGTCTCCAAATCATGAATTTTTATGGGAGGCCGCGGGCATAGTTATCCACGTCGTCTTACGATACTACTAATATCATATGAATTACGGTCTACCGAGGATTGTATTTCCGGCATCCACGCGAATGCTGAATAGATCATTAGTTAGGCCTTATAAACACGACAGTGAGCCTAGGGCATCCTGTGTTTTCCCAGTCAGCCTCAATACCCCTCCTTAATCATGTTCATTATTTTTGGCAATGTCCAGTTTGTGCCCGGAAAGTATCGCGAGGTAAATTTTCTCTAGAGCTGTCCAGAGCATATCTTGTTTATCGCTAAATGTTCGTCTCTAGTGGCAAGATGCCTACGACGATCTGGCCGAGTATGTTGTCGCCAACGAGAGAGATTCGACTTTGACCTACTACTTCGGGATCCCCGTTGAGTTCAAGGGGAATTTTGACGCGTCGACGCAGATGCTTGCGTTCGAGGCTTATAATACGCGCGAGGTTGGTAATTGAAATCATGTCTAAATCACGAGACTTTCAAGAGAAATCTGCGGATCTTGTAGTAACCCTTTCCCCCGCTTTTCTCTGGAGCAGGACCTATACGAAACACATTTAAAATCCCCCGCCATGGGTCAATTCCTCGCCTCCGTCCCCAGCTCCATGTCTACCGGCCTGGACCTCACTCACTACACTGAGACGGCAGGCTTTCTGGATAAGTCGGGTGATTGCCGTGAGTGCGGGGTCATCTATGACACGCGGATCGAGTGTCAGACGCCACATGATCGAAACGCTGTTTTGGCCAAGTTGGCCGCAATTGCGGGGCATGTGGAGAAGGACGAGAACGATACATACACATTCCTCGTGCTGAAGAGCTTGGATACCGAGACACATGTAAGGATTTTCGAGAGATATGCAAGCTGGGAGGCAATGGAGGCCCATCAGAGAGGGGAAAAGTTGGTGGACTTCTGGTTGGGCTGTAAGGGGGAGATTAAGAGTATGGAGGGAAGGCCGTACGCCCCTAATCGTAAGGGTTGGCTGCACCACTAGAAGCGATTATGTCCAATCACTATCTTATTATACGTGTTAGATGCTTGGCAGATTAACCTCTCGAAAGAAATTGTTGAAATTATAGCTATGTACAAGGAAAAAAATTACCAATAACTTAGGAAATGTGGCTTTTGATTGGGGATCAAACATAAGTTATCTTGTAAGCAGGTTGGGAATTGAAGGCCGCGGGAAAGTTGCGACTGGGATGCAGTAGATGCGGCGGCCCAAAGAAGTCAAGGAAGAATTAGCATGTCACTCTCGCTCATCTAGAAAGATTGTATGGAGTTTATGTCGGAAGAATCAGTTCATATGGACCCCTCACTATGAAGAACCCACAGTGAAAGTGCCGTATCATATATGTAATATCATGCATTGTTTCTGAGCGTAGACTCTGTATAGATTATCTGGTTCAACAGTTGAACAACTAACACGCCCAACCTCCGTCGACAGAATACACAGTGCCGGTGATAAAGGTGGATGCGTCGCTTAACAAAAAGGCAATCAGGTTCGCCGCCTCCTCCGGCGTCCCACGTCTTGGTAAAGCAGTGTCTGATTTGATGCCGACGCCACCATTGGTGTCCATCGATTTCTCTAACATGGGAGTTTGAATCGCACCCCTGCTCCGATTTCAGTTAGCGTCTGGAAATCCAAATGGTTGGAGGGGATGCAAGCTTACGGAGCTATGCAGTTGACTCTGATCCCTTGCTGGCCGACTTCCTTGGCTGCGGAGCGTGATAAACCAATGACCCCGTGCTTGCTTGCCGAGTATGCTGCGTTTTTGGCGAAGCCCTGGATTCCCGCAATGCTGGCGGCGTTGACGATGGAACCATTGTTAGCCATGACTCCAAGCTCTTTGCGCATGCAGTGCATAAGGCCTTTTAGGTTCACGTCCATGACAAAATCCCATTCTTCCATGTCAAAATCCTTGACCTACTTCGCAACTACCAAGTCAGAAATTTGTGTCATATCTCAGATGGCAATCGATGAAGAAACTCGCCCCCTTTAAGCCGATTGACTGGCCAATTACACCGGCCAGGTTGGCTGCCCCGTCAAGCTTGCCGCCCCATTTGCACGTCTCGTTAATCCAGGCTTCGACTGAGTCAGCCTGACGGACGTCGATGGCCATGGTGAAAACATCGCCGCTGCCAGCCTGTTTAATCTCATTGGCCACAGCAGCGAGGGCCTCTTGCTGCAGGTCTCCAATTGAGACCTTAGCGCCGAGGGACGCAAGGAGAATAGCGGTTGTGCGGCCAATTCCGGATGCGCCGCCGGTAATAGCAATTACCTTATTTGTAAAATCAATCATGACGTGTAATAAATTATAAATGAGAGGAATTTTGCCTTGGAGCTTTGGCAAGGCAGATAGAACGCAAATATAGGTCTTGCCAATACAGGCATAATCCATAGATTGAGGGTAAGGATATCCTGTCGTTGTCTCCAGCCGGAATTAAATATCCATACAGGGCCAACTTACTGAGGAAGATGGAAGTGAATAGCAAATTTTTTTCCCTGTACCTGTGAATAACTCCTTAGGTAGAAGTTGGGAAATTTTATGTACATCGTAAGCAGCAAAGCTGACCACTCTTGTCGAGCCTAAGCATTTATCCGAAGCATCTATGTAGGGCTGTCGGGATCCTTCTGACGATAAACTACTGGCAGCAAGCAGCGGTCAAACGAAGAACCTGAGACTGAGGACCACTGCGAGACATCTTTCTCATGCAACACTAGGCACATATGTACATATCAACTATTATTATATGGATAACGTCATGTATACTTATTGTATCGGCAATACCTAGTGAATCATGTATCGAAGGTATTAAAATAATCCAGCTGGTGGCATGTTAGGGAAATAGGCATTTGTCGAAATATAGTTCCTATGTCTGATTAGATTCGTTGAATCTATCTTTGACTATTGCATAGCGCATATCCTCATCGTCAGAGAATACTACTTATATACAATGGATCAACCTTGGTAACCATAACTCTCACACCCTTCTCCGGATGAATGATATGAGTACCATCAGGCGCTAGAACATCTCTCATCTCAGGGCTGGTGGCGAACAACAAGTAGTCCTCCCAACTCTTGACATAAATCTCCGAGCACGCATCCCACGCGAGATCCATGAGCGAGAGGCCCATATTCGCGGCCTCATTATTCAGAGCCTTGTCCTTGTGGATCTGGGTGTACTGCTGGATTTCGGCTTCACTGAAGGCCTTGGATGCGACTGTTAGACGGCCATGTGTGTCGCGCCAGTAGGTCTCGAATTCCGACTGAGACATCGAGGGATGCTTGGTGAAGAAGAAACTAATGCGGATCAGAGGACGCATGGGTCGGGGTCGGAGTTTCCGGGTTGGGCTCGTGGAAATTGTCATTATAGTTGACTTGTTAAGGGTCTTTGGAATCGCTGGGGAGACCTGCCTTCTTTGTCTTGTGATACTTTTGAAGAGAATCAACAATCACCTTTTATGGGTAGAGTCTACAAAGTCGGTTCTCGTTGCCCAGCTTCTCACTCCTCCAGCACTCAAGGATAATGCTTCAAGTTAGGAATTACCGACACTAGCTTGCGGTGCGTGAAACATGAAAATATGCTACAATTTCCGCCGTTGTCCCATTTGCCATACTATTTTGTGCTCGGACAGGGTTATCCACCAGACGGCTGCCCTTTTCCGGAGATCATAATCCCTTAGTAACCATTCCAATGACAGAGGAAAAAAACACCCTTATGACAACAGTGAATTCCAGAGATAATCACTGCTATCAAAGGTAAGTACTGAGATTGAACGAGGCAATACAACTGGGTTCCTTGGCCTTGGTATTGTAAACATGTGGCAAGCGCATACAGCTACGGAGTTTCTCTTGTATCTGGTTTCAACCAGCGGCATTCTCCTTGTCTGCTACGTCGTCACCCTGGTCATCTATAGGCTATACTTCCATCCGCTAGCCAAATTCCCTGGGCCCAAGCTAAACGCGATCAGCTCATTGCCGTCCATCTACTTGCTGTTGCGAGGCCGATTACCGCTCGTGAACAAGCAACTCCATGACAAGTATGGCTCGGTGGTTCGGGTGTCGCCGAATGAGCTTTCCTTTAACTCCGCTCCAGCATGGGACGGCATCTACGGCTTCAAGACCAATGGACGGAAGAACATGCACAAGGACCCAATCCATGTGGGGTCCGTCGACCCCTTGCCCGGGGCTTCCACCTTGACGATGTCGGATGACGCCAACCACACCAGACAGAGGCGCGCTCTGGCGCACTCATTTTCCGAGAGAGCATTGAAAGAGCAAGAGTACATAATCCAACATCATGTGGACAGTCTCATCAAAAATTTCAAGCGGATGGCCGGGACGGGGGAAGAACTCAACCTGGTGAACTGGCTGAATTTCACCACCTTCGACATAATCGGCGACCTTGCATTTGGTGAGCCGTTTGGTTGCCTGGATCTGGGCGCGTTCCATTCGTGGGTTGCCTTAATCTACGAAACGGTGAAAGTAGGAGCGCTGGAACAGGCAACCCGGCGCTTCGCCGAGGCGGGCTCGTGGTTGCAGACGATGCTGCTAAACCTGATCCCAAATGACGTTAGAAAAAAGCGACGGGATCATCTCACATTCAGCCGCAATAAGGTTCTGCGGCGCCTACAGAACGAGCACACCGAGCATAGGGACTTCATCTACTACATCCTGAAGCAGAGGGATAAGTATGACCTCCACGAAAACGAGATCATCCTGAATGGGGCGTTGTTCATCGTCGCAGGCAGTGAGACGACCGCCAACCTTCTCTCTGGGCTGTTTGCACGATTGCTTAGGACCCCCAGCAAGTGCCAACAGCTCTGCGCAGAGGTCCGGTCCGCCTTCCAGTCCGAAGCCGAGATCACATACCAGCGGACCAGCCAACTTCCGTACCTCAACGCGTGCCTGGAAGAAGGTCTTCGAATCCACCCCCCGGTTCCAACGGGGCTTTTGCGTACAGTTCCCGCGGGGGGCGACATAATCGATGGTCACTGGGTTCCTGGAGGCACGTCAGTCTCTGTCAGCTCGTGGGCTGCATCGCATAACCCGGCAAATTTCCAGGAATGCGATTCATTCATCCCGGAACGGTGGATTGGCGACGGCTTCGCAGCCGATATTAAGAGCGGTATGCAGCCGTTTTCCCTCGGCCCGCGGGGATGCATCGGTAAAAGCCTGTCCTACATGGAGATGAGAGTCATTCTGGCTCGAGTCGTGTGGAACTTCGACGTGATTAGTACTGACGGTGCATGGCAATGGGACCCCGAGGGCGAGATGAAGCACATGAAGGCCTATAACACATGGCAGAAACCAGATCTCAACGTCAAATTGGTGAAAGTTTAGCGGGCGGACTGCTATGGGGCTTAAAATCAGTGTGTACTCACCAAAATACCAAGCACAGACGAAGCGGTGGTGGTGATCAAAGGAGTAATGTGCTCCTCTGATGCTGAGCAACCGAACGCAACTAGCAGGGTTGACATTTTTGAAGTGATTATGTAGCGAAGTACAGATCAAGCATTCTCAATTTACCTAAGTCGATATTGTGCTGGCATCTTAGAAATAACAAAACTCTCTGGCGGTCGCTTTTATTGCTTCCTTTCATATTTAGGTTTCCGTCTTTTAGAGCTGGGTTAGTATTTATACATATTAGATGTCTAGCACAGTTTCAAGAAGGTTATAATCCTAGTGGACTATATAGAGACGCTGTGTCTAGGAGTACACATTCTGAAGCATCCAACTCAAAAGGACCAGATGTCTCATACGCACTCCGCCATCTGTTTACAGGCAAGTAAGACTCACCAAGAAAGGTGGCAAAGGTCGTCGTTTTCTGTGCTGGAAATCAAGCTCCTGTCTTCAGCCAGATATACCCGAGAAGCTAAATCCAGGAAGCCGAGAGCAATATATTCCGGGTTAAGGTTAGGGTTCTTCGTATCCTCTTCCCGCAGCTCCAGATGAAGATGATGTATAAAGGACAAATGGAAGCTCTCCAATTACTAGGCCGCTACCAAGCCTGTGAACAAAAGAAAATATGGAATCGTTTCACACCTCATCTGCTCCCAGAAGGCCGATCCGCATCGGCGGCGCCAGTGGCGGATTTACGGATCGGCAACGGAGCATTCTATCCTTTGCTAAAGACAACGATGTCGATATTATCATCGGGGACTGGATGAGCGAGATGACGATGCAGTGGCATGGTGCGGAAAAAGCTGATCGGGCCAAGTCGAACGACACAGATGGCGATCATGCTCCAAGCTTTGATCCGTCTTTCATGGGCACGTTGGCTCCCGCCCTCCCGTACCTACAGCAGCGCCGTATCAAAGTCGCGGTGAATGCGGGTGCAAGTGAGCCCGACAAGCTAGCAGAATTGGTCATCGCTGCCATCAAGGAGCAGGATCTGGATCTCAAAGTCGCCTGGGTCCAGGGGGATGAGGTAATGGATGTTGTTCAGCGGCTGATGAAGCAAGGCGAGAAGTTCGAGAACATCTGCTTCGGTGGAAATCTGGAAGACTGGGCATTCGAACCGATCGCTGCACAATGTTACCTCGGCGGCGCTGGGGTTGCGGATGCCCTTCGAGCGGGAGCGGATATTGTGATCTGTGGGAGGGTCTCGGACCCAGCGCCAGCAGTCGGGGCGGCGATGTGGTGGCACGGCTGGGACCGCAACAAGGATTTTGATGAACTGGCCGGCTCTCTCGTCGCGGGCCATCTGATCGAGTGTTCGAGTTACGTGTGTGGGGGGGTATTACAGCGGCTTTAAAGATCTTTTCGACGGGTGTGAAAATATCGGCTTCCCGATCGCTGCAATCAACCACGATGGAACCTTCACATTGGAGAAAGAGCCGGGCACCGGCGGAGAAATATCCGTTGGGACGGCAACATCTCAGTTGTTGTATGAGATCCAGGGCCCTCGTTATTATGGCTCCGATGTCGTGGCACTTCTCGAAGGTATCGAGATGCGGCAGCTTGCCAAGGACGAGGTCCTCGTGACGGGGGTAAAGGGAAGTCGGCCGCCGACAACGACGAAGGTTGGTATCACGGCCAGGGGGGGATACCAGGCTGAGTTTCACTACTACATGTGCGGCCTGGATCTCAAGGAGAAAGCTGTGTGGACCGAGCGACAGATACGGCACAGCATGGGCAAGAATGTGTCCAAATTCTCATGCCTTAAGTTCAGTCTCAATGGGTGGTGTCAGGAGAATCCAATGAATCAAGCAGTGGCAACTGCTGACTTCCGCATCTTGGCTCAAACGAAGGACAAGGAGTTACTTGGGACTGGGTCAATGGTCGGATTTCAGAGATGGTGCTTGGAGAATTTCTTACAGAGTGCACCCGGAGCGAGCATCGAAAATGACCTGCGACAGTGTACTGGAAAAGAATTTTTCGAATATTGGGTCGCTCTGATCCCCCAGTCAGAGATTACCCACATGGTGAATCTGTCCTGGTCGGGTCACTCAATCCCAGTGCCTCCTGCAACAAATCTCCAGGATTATGGCGGGACATATGCAACAAGGCAGTGGAGCTACGAGACCAAGGAACCGGTCGATATGACTTCGTTCGGACCAACGACCAGCGGACCCCTGGGGTGGATTGCCCTGGGGCGCTCAGGGGACAAAGCTTCGGATGCGAATACGGGATTCTTCGCGCGAAACGACGACGAATGGCACTGGCTGCGCTCATTGCTCACGGTAGCTAAGATGAAGGAATTGCTGGGTCCTGAATATAACGGGCAGCCTATCGACCGATTTGAGATGCCAGCAATTCGCGCGGTGCACTTCCTGCTCCACGATCATCTTGACCGGGGCTGGAGTGCTACTAGCACCTATGATGGCCTGGGGAAGAACGTTTGTGAGTACATCAGGGCGAAACATGTCGAAATTCCGAACATCTTCATAGAGAAAGGCAAAGTGTAATTTCCTTCCTTGACGAAAGAGCAACAGCAGAGTACTAGTTTTTGAAATCTACAAATGTCAATGATGAACTTGAAAGATCCCAGCTTGATGAGTTTTAGCCATGTAGTCATTCCCGATTGGTGCCCTCTTAAATGAATAAATAATCTAGTGAAACTAGGACAGACTTGTAGCATGGATATATCTCAAAAGAAATTCAAACCTAATAGAGTAGCAGTCACATAATGACCCAATTGACCGCCCGCAATTGGGTCACCCAAACCCAGGCGAACTTTCACACCCAAACAGTCTTTTTTGAATTATATCGCTATTTACTACCGCCACGGCGTAGTTTAACGTTTTGGATAGGTTACAAATACTTCCTCGCCATTAGGAATAGTGTATGTAGGCCTTCTTTCGGCCGGAACAGGTGTATCTAGGGCCTCTGGGCCCTCCGAGCTTGCTTCATCTTCTTCATCTTCCTCAGTACGCTTAGGCAATTTTGCAATATTGTCCGCAACCTTGCGAACAGCATCAGCAGTTGTTAATGGCCCATATAGGCCTACACGTCGCTTAGATTTGCGTACAATTTTAGGTGGTTTTGGCAACTGGTTTTGCAACGCGTTGTCCATAATACCTACTAGGTCCACAAGCTCAATGCAGGCACTAGTAATCCGCTCAATTGTAGCATACAGCTTTGGTGTTGTGAAGATGGAAGATGAATGATGAGAGATATGATAGATGATTGATTCTAGAGATGAAGCTATGGATCTAGATATCATGGAGGCTGAGGCAAGGATGCGGTGAAGTGGGGCAGTATCCCAATTCAATGCGAACAGGTGTAATAGCGTCTTTTTGCTCAGTAAGTTGCTTATTCACTTTTTGCTGCGATCGGCGTGCTGAAAAGCTATTTCGAAGAGGTGATGTAGGTAAATCAGAGCTAATTGGTGCAGCTTTATCCACGCCATCAAATATCTGGAGATCGCAGTCATCATACCCAAGCTCAGCCATTAAAGGCCCAATAACTAGCTCTGGATGAAATGGTATTATTCCACGTGTTTGAAATGATTTGCGAATAGTACGCGATGTAAGAGATGCTTGGCGAATACCTTCAATCTCTCTGAAAAAGAAGCTACTATCACACACATCGCCTTCCCAGCTTGCAACCTTATTATTTTTAGCTTTGAACCGCTGTTTTAAAGCTCGAAAAGGACTTCTATTAAGTGGCTGAATCAAATTTGTTGTATGGGCGGGGAATACACAGGTAATAATATGATCAAGCCTGTAAATTTCGAGGAATTCCTATGTTAAATGTGATCTATAACCATTAAATAATAATAATCTTCTTCCTGTTGTACGTAACTGTGTGCTTTGAATCAAGAAATTAAGCCAATCTATAGCTAATTCATTATTAGAATATCCACTGGAGGATATAGCAATACGTAAATTGGTTGGAAGTATGTTATTGTCGAGATACTATCGTTTAAGCTGATATTTACCCTTTCCGACAAAATAGGGCGGCATTAACCAACCATCTGCTTTAATATATTTAATGTTAGTAAATAGATTGCTACGCTCCTCAGAAGGTAAATAAGAGTATTCCTGATACTTTGTTAGGACCTTTTGAGGCTTGCTCTGACCAAGGAGAAACCCAGTTTTATTGAAATTGTAGATATGAGATGCAGGGATAGTATTTAAACTATAATTTAGTGGTTTAATACGATCAAAAAATGACTGTATAACACCGATATCCATACTATTGTAGCGATCACGTCCCATTGGCCTCTGCTTAATCTATAAATAGCCGTGTTGAGATGTAGCCTTTTTGATAAAGCGATATACCCAGTTATGATTAACAGGTGCTGTATCTGTATAAGTACGACGAAGCATAGTATTTGCACTTGCTTCTATACGTGCAGCAGTGGGCGGAATCCCTAGGGTATCTAGGCGATCGCTCCAGGTATATAATGCTGCTTCTTGGGTATTATCTAGCCTACTGTGGGATATACGAGATATAGTAATAGGTTGTCGGCCTTTTGCGCGCGACTGTAGGCGTTGAACTACAACGCGATATTTACGCGATAACGTAGCGAAATTAGGCTTTTCAAAGGTTATAGCCTTTTGGCAAGCGGCAATTACGCGCTCTTCGGTAGTCATATTGTTGAAATTCATGGTAAAAAGGGTTGTAGTATTGGCAAATAGTTAAAAAGGATTGTGTGGGTGTGAAAGTTCGCCTGGGTGTGGGTGACCCAATTGGCGGGCGGTCAATTGGGTCAGTATGTGACTGCTAGAGTGTGCAAAAAAAGAAAAAAGAAAAACTAAGAATAAGCCTGGAGCCTTAATTTCTTGACTCCTAAGGAGTGGCCTAGGATTCGCTAGTAGACAAAGACGACCGCATACGTTCCATTTCCAACAGCTTTATTACTGGACCAATGTTCTGATCGATCTCCTTTCCAGATACGCCAGTCAGTTTCGTACGAGGGGGTGAAACACCCCATTCCGGTATGACCCTGGTCCCGTTAGCTGTGATTTCGAGGACCGTTCCACCACTATATTTGTCATCTTCGACAAGTCGTTGTATTGCTCTCGCGACTTCTCTCACTGGGACCGTCTCTGCTTGGTCGAATCCAAACTGAGTCATCTTCTCTGGATGGTCAGTCCATAGAGGTGTCTTGACAGCACTGAAAATCAACAGGTAAGCATGGACACAGTGGATATGGGTGTGTTTTCATTACCAAGGGCAAATGGTTGTGACCTTGACACCTTCCAATAAATCGCAAGCTGCCATGGATTTAACAAAGCCCACAACGGCATGCTTCGTCGCACAATACAAGGGGCAAGCATACGTTCCCATCACCCCAGCGAGGGAACCGATAATACAGACGACTCCTTTCTTTCCCGCGCCTAACAGTGCTCTGATGGCGATTCTGGTCAGTTTTATCGGGTGGTCAACGTTTATCGCCGTGGATCTGTAACCATCCTGCTCGCTATCGTCCCAGAAACTCGACCATTTCTGGAGCTCACGTCAATTAACAATCCATGAAAAGTGTTGCTTGTACGGGAAGAGACAAACCGGCTCAAATATTCCTGCTCCGGCAATGTAAACATCCGGGACGGTATTCCAAATCTCCTTCGACCTTTTGATGAGCGCATGAAGGTCGTCCCATTTGCGGACATCGCAGTGCTGGAAATGCACATCATCCTTTGCGGCAACAAGCCGCTCGGCTTCTTGAGTCAGCTGTATGTCTGCTATCAACACTTTCGCACCGCTATCATGTGCTAAGCGGACAAATTCTAAACTGATTCCTACAAAACGACGTCAGCCGGACAGGTGTGCCTGCAGGAGAATATTGTAATACCCGAACCACCACCGGTAACCAGGATGATCTTTTGGCTGAGCGGGAAGTTTCCAAACATGATTTCGACAAAGGAAACCGTATTACTTGATGATATCGCGGTCAACGGAGATTTGCTGAAATCAGATCATGCTGGCCACAGTATAGTTGAGAAGCTTAGGCCATACGCGATGGAGCGGGGGAAAGGCTGGAAGTATTCAGCCTATCCACACCCGCCCAGTTAAGCCCTCATTTTCCTCGACAGGAAAAGCAGCAAGGTTGAAGGCCTCCCGTTCTCTCCTCCACTTATTTTAAGAATAAATATGTAATTCTACGCTGAGTCTTCCTATGCTGCCCAACGAAGATCGTAGCAGTATTCTTTCGCTCTTTGATCTACAAACCTGTTCATTCGCCATGGCCGAAAGTAACTATCAGGCTGGTCAACCCATCCATACCGCAGGACATGTTCGAATAATATGTGTTGGTGCCGGCGCGTCTGGCCTTCTGTTTGCCTACAAACTGCAGCGAAGTTTCTCCAACTTCTCTCTCGTCATCTATGAGAAGAATCCAGAGGTGGCTGGGACATGGTGGGAAAACAGATATCCCGGGTACGTGCCCTCCTGTTGCGTTTGCTGTCCCCAGGCTGGTAAAGGTTGATCCTAATCCTTCGTTTAGCTGCGCATGTGATGTCCCGTCGCACAACTACACATGGTCCTTTGAGCCCAAGACGGACTGGTCCGGGACGTATGCCAGCAGCAAGGAAATCTTCAACTACTTTGATACATTCTCGCGCAAGCATGGCCTGCGCCACTACTGCCGACACCAACATGAAGTTGTCGGCGCCACATGGAATATCGACCGACATGGCTATGATGTCAGGGTTCGTGCCCTGAAGAGTGGCCAAGAGTGGAGCGACACTTGTGACATACTGATCAACGCAGGGGGCATCTTGAACTCGTGGCGCTGGCCGGCTATCCCAGGCCTGGACCGGTTCAAGGGAACACTGGTGCACACAGCGAACTGGGATGAGTCCATAGTATTAGAGGGAAAACATGTCGGGCTGATTGGAAACGGGTGAGACAATATCCCCTATTTCCAGCGCGTCACTTGATCGATTACGGCTATTCTTTCTCTTGGGGAATTCAAAATCTGATTAACATCACCTATAGGTCTTCGGGAATTCAAGTGCTACCTGCGATTCTCCCTAAGGTCAGGAAAATCACAACTTTCATCCGCGAGCCGACGTGGGTATCACCCGTCCAAGGTATGGAGCAGCATATATTTTCCCCGGCGGAAAAAGAAGCCTTTGCCACAAAGCCGGGGTTGCTTACCGAGTATCGGCGGGGGATCGAACGTGGCCTGAACGGCCAGTTCGGAATCTTTCTCAGAAACACGAAAGTTCAAGAGCAGACGCGGGAATACATGGCCAAGCAAATGAAGGAAAAGTTGCACGACGCAGACCTAGAAAAAAGTCTTAATTCCTGAATGGTCTGTTGGGTGCCGAAGGATAACGCCGGGAGTCGGCTATCTCGAAGCGTTGGGCGCCGAGAATGTCGAGGTCGTGTACGGCAATGTCATGGAGGTCAACGAGAGAGGCTGTATTTGCGATAATGGGAAACAGTACCCCATGGACGTCTTGATCTGTGCAACCGGTTTCGATACATCGTTTCGGCCTAGGTTCCCTATTATCGGGCCGAATGGGAACAACTTGCAGGATGACTGGAACGACGAGCCGCAGTCTTACTTGGGAATTGCAGCTGCGGGAATTCCGAACTATCTCACTTTCCTTGGCCCAAATAGTCCTATCGGCAATGGCCCAGTGTTGTCCGCTATTGGTAAGTAGTAAACCGTCCTGCTTGTCACCGAATGAGAACTCTAACATGTTGCTCACCAACTAGAGGCCCAAGCAGACTATATGATGAAGCTTATCGATCGATACCAGACCACCAATATCAGAAGCTTTGCTCCTCACGCACATGTAATCAAAGACTTCATCGAATACAAGGACAGGTTTATGAGAAATACCGTTTGGGCCGACTCATGCCGTTCCTGGTACAAGTCCAACCAGGCTGAGGGTTCAGTCACGGCATTATGGCCCGGATCGACGCTGCATTACATCGAAGCTATGGATGAACTCCGGCTGGACGATTGGGACGTCCAGTACAATGGAAACCGGTTCTCCTGGATGGGCAACGGCTACAGTCAGACCGAGGTTGATGAAACGGCTGATTGGGCATACTACATCCGTGAAGAGGATGACGGGGAGTACATGAGTCGGTCTAAGAGATTGAGGGTATTGAACAAATCGGGGTCAAGGAAAGCGGAAAGTGGCTCTTTTTCGGTGTTTCCCAAGATCTAAGATTTGATGTTTCGCTTTTTGTGAGGGATTAATATATCGTTAGTGTTTGGAAGATAAGGAATTCAAGTTAGTTGATTTATCTTGCCTACTCGTCATATTTCGCGCTTAAGAAACCCATGAGATTGATCTCTAGAGAAAATAAAAACAATGGGAAAATGGTTATAACAGAATCATTGGCGTAAATTTCTCGGTCCTGACTCGTTGCCACATGCATGCGAGATACTTTTGAAACAATAGGAGTCTCGCTAATAGCGAAGAGTGACTCCACTGATTGATTTTTCTAGCCAATTTGACTAGCTACTAGAGAAGGCTATAACATCTTCTACCATAGACCGCGGTGGTGTAGTGTAATTTCAAATACCTTAACGTATTCCACGGCAAACCCGCCACCACGGCAAACCCGCCACCCCACCCACTTAGTTCTATATCCATGAAGCATTTAGATAACCCCAACGCCTTTATATTCAATTTAAACCCTATCTGGACATCTATTAGCCCTATGGCCAGGCTTTCCGCATACACTGCATTTATATTGCCGTCTGTTGGTGCTGGCACCGGGCACCGAAGCAGTCTGTGTGGGTGGTGCGGTGGACTGCCCACCACCTTCTAAACCACCTAGTAGACCAATGCCTTGCTCATGGGCTTCATGAACAAATAAGCCCTCATCGCGCTGTATTTGCCTTTTAGATAAGGCCTTTCGTCTCTTCTTTTTATAGTTTTCAGCGCGTAGATCAACCACTTCTTGCTCCAGTAGAAGGATACGCTTCATAACCTTTTCGTAAGCCTTATAAGCCTGATTAACTACCTCTTTCGTAGGCGTAGGTGGGCTATCAGACCGGTACTTAATAAGGCGCTTTGCTGATACTTTATGCTTCGAAAGCTATTTGATATTGCTTGGTGTTTCAGGGCAATAGATGCTTGATCGGCTTGATGGTCGGTCTGGTGGTGTAGGCGGACGAAGCTGAATATTGAGCCTATCAATAACTTCTGCCGCATTTAGAGGAATTAAACCGGTCGCTTTGAATGCATTTTGAATGCTTCTAGCCTGAAATGCGTCTTCGCGTGCGCGTGGGTAGGCTGCAAGGAAATCAAGCTTGTCGATATGGTTTATACCCATACGCGTCTGTTGGTCTACTAGGCGACCGTATGACCGCTTGAGAACTGCGAAACAGCCCACATCTAGCGGTTGTAATAGATACGAGCTATGCGGTGGCATACATATCGGGATAACGTCATGCTCAGTGCATACGCGGTCGAATTCAGGCGTAAGGTGGCTTCTATAACCATCAAGAATTAATAGCCTATACCGACCACGTATCCGGCTTGCGGTTAAGGGAATAAAAAGCTTTTGAAGCCATCGAAGCCCAATATCATCAGATGTCCATCTATTCGGAGAAACCTCAAAGCGCTAGTCCCTTAGGGTATCGTGGAACCATGATTTAATATAGCGCTTGCCTTTAAATATAATTAATGGCGGTAAAGCCTAGCCTAAAGTATTGACTGCTTCCACTGCGGTCACCCATTCACGATTGCCTGGCTGTAAGACAGATCTACGGCCATAGTATTCAGCCCTAGTAACTACCTTTGCGGTAGAAACGAGGCCTATTACGAAGCCTGTTTCATCGAAATTGTAGATATCATCAGGTGGAATACCATAGCGCGTAATAGTGTCCCTAATAAGCTTAAACCACTTATTTAATACCCTTAGATCCTCCTGCTCTGCGCGTGAATAGTTATATCGACCCGAGAAACGTGTTTGAATATCGGGTGTGCGCTTAATATAGCTTCCAACCCAATTCACGCCGACCGTATCAGATCCGGTTGCCGCGAGGAGAATATTAGCCATTCTGCGTACCATAGCATGCCTCGGGGCTGCACCGCGGTCGTCCATAGACAGAATCCACTGGGTAAGCGTATCCTCGTCTAAATGGGTCATCTTATAGGTATAGGCGCGTGTGGTAGCCTTTGAACTGCAGCCATTGATCCGGTCGCGTACGGTCGACCGCGGCACATTGTAGACGCGTGCAGCGGCAGCAATAGAGGGAAGATCTTTATTCTGAATAGCCTGGATTGCAAGCTCAATCCTACCTTCTCGTTGGATAGAATCCTGCTTCTTTTCAGACCGTATTGGTGGCATAGTGGGGGATTCAAAGTGGTGGGTGGTGCATGGGGACGCGAATATTGATGGGGTGGCGGGTTTGCCGTGGTGGCGGGTTTGCCGTGGAACACGTTATTTAGAGAGAGAGAGAGATGTTTTTCCTAGTACTCAGGGCTTATAGTTGCCTCGTGACCTCGTCGCCTTATTCAATAACTTATTACTAGTAGCATCGGCCATTATAGAGGCTATGGGCATACTGATGTCAAGTACTAGTACAATATTATAATTTCAGATACAATATAATAATTTCAAGGCGTATTGGACTGGAAGAAGTCAAAACAGTCATTCAGCGACCGCACTACCTGATACACTCGCTAATAATGGGCTCCATTCTCGTTAGACCCTCCCTCGATCCAGAAAACGTTTGGGCAAATCCACTGTTCTTGCACGCAGGTACTCCATGCAGTTCTTCCCTAGTGTGTCGTAACTTGAGCAGGCATTATACTCCCCTTGCATGTGGTCCTTCAGGAGGAAATGTACAGTTCGCAAATGCTGAATCTCGAACCGGTCAATTGGCTTGCCCTTGTACTCCTCCGGGCCCAGTAGCTCGATGATTTTTGGTATAGTCAGGAAGCTGCGTAGCCAGTCCCATTCATCGTCGTGGCGCACAAAGAACCCGTTGTTGCAGTCGGATGCCTTATCGCCGCCGCGGCCGAGGACGATATACCCCAGTGGTGCCCGGACCGTCGGCCCAAAAGTCGATAAATCTACTGGATTGGCCGTCTCATAGCTTGATTGCTGGCGGGGGTATCTCTGCGTGATCCTAGGTGCTGGAATTTCTGTTATCTGCTGATTGCCGTAGAGCAGGTGAACCCGCTGCCGCATTTCTGTCTGTGGCAACAGCGCCGGCCAATAGCGATAATAGGGCTTGCCCTCAGCTTGTCTCATGTCATTCCCCAAAGATGCGCCCTGTAACAATCAGTACCCATCCTATAATTGCCCTGACAAAGGGAAGCACACGCACCGGAACACCTTCAAGGAAAGTCACCATTGACCGCCGGAAGAACCCGTCTGGATTGGTCATGCTCAGTAACTCCTTATCGGTCGACTGCGCAAAGACGCGGAAGTCCACAGTCGCGAGGTCTTGATTGCGTGCATCGATGGGCGATGAGCCATTAAGGTGGAACTTCAAAAGAGAAAACTTCTTCACGG